ATGCCGTTGTGTCATGCAATAGGTAAAAGTGGCTATTAATGACACAATTAGCTTGCCTATGTAGCCACCTTTATCCAGCTCCAGGATCATGCCTGGAGCAACCATCAAATTAGCTGCATTTCACTGCACTGCCCCAGCGAAATGCAGCTAATTTGACCATTGAAGTGCATTTATTAAGTAAAAGTTCAACTGAGACACATCTTTACTATAATTTCAAGCAAACATATAATTGTTTTTAAGTGTTAATCTTGTTAAATTATTGTTAAAGTCCTCCTGTGCACGCTCCCGCGGCCGCCATTTGGCAGCCAATCGATTTTTGGCACAACACCGGCCCACATTTCTGTTTTGTCAGTGGTGACGTGTAACAAACACGTCACGTCAGCAGTGACGCATAGTAGATGCGACATATACGGGAAGCAGTGTATTTATGGATTTTTCCAAATTATTATATATTTTTGGACTGATGCGACTTATACTCCGGTGCGACTTATAGGTCGGAAAATACGGTATTTAAAATCTGACTCATAATTTTCACAAAGTTGCTTTATCTGGATTAACAATTAGAGGGCGGCAAATGCACATGTGTATTTGTTGTAGAGATCATAGCGGGCTGCTAGCGGTAGCTTTGACATTTCTTAGGTCTTAGTTATTTTGATGTTTCTTGTGTAGTTCATGATTGGTGGACCTATTTTCTCTTTGCTTGAATCTTTGCAAGGTTCTTCTTGGGTTTTGTGCCATGGCTGTGTTGGCACATGCATTTTGTTGAACTTTTGTTTGAGATTCTGTGGAAGTATGGGCTACTGAGATCATTCCTGAGGGCTATCTTGTTATTGTTCTATTCAAGCCAAAGGTTGTGTCTACATTGTCAGAACAAGGTCAAACTTGTTTCAGGTTCAGGTTGAACTTTGTCATGATTGCCCTCTGATCCTGTTCATGGTGTTCATGGACAGGATCTCAAGGAGTATGCATAAAGAGGACATAGTTTAAAGTTATGCAGATGATGTGATTCTGTTGGTGCCTTTATTATATGGTCTACAGCATACACTGAAGCAGTTTGCAGCAAAGTGAGAAGAATCTGCAATGAGGGTTGAGTACTCCAAATTGTTGAATGGGCATAGTGGTACAAAAAAAAAAGACTTTTAATTCCAGTAACACTTTTGTTCAATAAACTTTGCAGACGAGTGCAAATTGTAAAGTAAAAGTGAAACTAACAAGTCTATTGGATCCTTTGCATTGTTTAAGACTGTTTTATTGTTCCTGACCTAGTGAAACATGATAAATCATTTTCTGTTCCCTGATATATTTTCAGACTTTACTTTCCCTCTATACTGGGACAGCATGGCTACCGATGGGGCAGTGAAGGTTTCACTGCAGCCTTCCTCTCGGGAGTACAAGACAGTAAAGGAGAGTTTTAAACAATCCAGTAACATGACTGTAATGAAGGTCAGTGGTTCTCAAAGAAAATACCTTTTATTAACACATATTCTGACTTTTTATGTTCTACCTATTATATATTACCCGTTTCAACAAATGTGCAACGTAAGAAAATTAATCAAAGTATGCAAACTGTTAACAGTGACTTTTTGAATTTTGCTTCAGCTTGTAGTCATTTCTGTAGATCAGTGGTTCTCAAACTGGGGTCCCCGGACCCCTGGGAGTCTGCGAGCCAGTGCTTCGGGGTCCACAAAAAATAAAATAAATAAATTTACAAGCTGTTTAACAACCCATTAAAATACACCAAAATACAGGAAATCACATCTACTTTATTCAAAATTTTCTTTCTGGGGGAGGACCCCCAGACCCCCAGCACCCATCCCCACAAATGAAAAATACCCCATGCTTAAAAGTTTAAAAATTGTATTAACACTATTAAAGAACAGGCCTTAAGTATGTATGTTACACAAATATTTCCATTGCATTAAAGAGACAAAGTGAAGACAGTTGTTTAATAAACATGAGGGTTATGAGGGGATCCCTAAAACTTTTTCTCCCCTGCAAGGGGTCCCTAGTTTGAGAACCACGGATAACACACTTTATGGAGGAAAGTGACTGTGTCTGTGTTCCTCATTATTAGATTTTAAGACAAAGTAGTGTATTGTTTTAGATTAAAGGACAATGAACTCAATGGTAAGGTATGGACTTGAGATATTTTGAGCTATTATTTAACTTTTGCACAGGTCTCAGATTTTATGGCTTGTTTATGGACATTTTTCTGAAATGCCAGCTGATTACATTTTTGAAGCTTTTCTTAAACAGGTACTATGAAAAGGTAACAAATTATATATATTAATGTAGGAAAAAAGTTGTTTTAGGTTATCTCTTTTTTTTCCACAGTGTAAAATAATAGTTAACAAACAAAACAGCCAGTTTAAATCTAAAAAAAGCACTTTTCAACGAAATTGCATGTAAACTTCTGTTCTCCTCTATCTCACTTTATTTATTTTTATTTTTTGATTTTTGCCGAGTGGTTGATCTTGGTATCATCACAATTTTGAGACTAAAATTACAATTTATTGTCTAATCTCTAACTATATGCCTTTTAAAAAATCACAAGTGCACGTTTTGTACTTGAGAAAATTACCAATACAGTACTCTAAATGCAGACAGTTTGTCAGTTCACTGCTTCTTGATTTTTTTCCTGTTAGATTGAGCGTCTGCAGAACATCCATCTGCGTCGTGCCTATGAGGCTCAGAAGAAGCAAATATCTGCAAAGAACGTCCAGTCAAGAGGAGCAGGAGAAAAGTTTCTGTACCATGGAACAACGCAGGACAACTCTGACTCAATCATGAATACTGGGTTCAATAGGCGCTTTGCTGGGCAAAATGGTAATGAGTTTCCTATGGAATCACACAATTTCCTCACTTTTCTGACAATGACCTTGCAGATTATAAGATAGAGAGCTCAATGTAACATAGAAAAAACACTATCTCTGTGTTTTTTCTATGTTACATTGAGCTCTATCTTATAAACTGCAAGGCAATTGTCAGAAAAGTGAGGAAATATTATCACAATTATTATTAAGATGATATTATTTATGTCAATAATATTATGAGCAATGACGAAAATGCAATTACAATTATTCTTTTTTTAAATTTGTTATCACTTTCAGCCACAGCATATGGTGAAGGCACCTATTTTGCTGTAAATGCCAGCTACTCTGCCAACCCCACATACTCCAGACCAGCTGCTGATGGCTCTCAGCTGATGTTTGTAGCCCGAGTCCTGACGGGCGTCTACACTCAGGGACAAAGTGGGATGAAGGTGCCTCCGGTTCGAGATGCTCAGCAGTCCCACGATCGTTACGACAGCGTGGTGGATACTATCAACAACCCCAGCATGTATGTTGTTTTCCACGATGACCAAGCTTATCCAGACTATCTCATCACCTTCAAGTAAAAGTGACCAAAAAAAAGTGTTTGGATTTTTAATGTGAAAATACAAAACTCAAACATACAGAACTTTTTTTTAGGAAAATACAGACATTTAAAAGAAATGATCGTATTTTTCGGACTATAAGGCGCACTCAAAATCCTTTAATTTTCTTAAAAATTGACAGTGAGCCTTATAATCCGGGGCACCTTATGTATTAATTCTGGTTGTGCTTACTGAGCTCGAACCAATTTTATGTGATTATTGTGAATGAGTTGAATAAAGTTTGACTTATCTGACTGTTATGTTTCGCTTAATGCGCCTTATAGTCCGAAAAATACGGTAGGAAATGTGCGGGGAATATTTTTATTGTCAAAAATGTTTATGCAACGTTTATGAAATTAGTGTTGTGCAGGGGACATTAAAATATATTTTATCCATGTTTAGAAAGATCTGTACACAAACGGGTGGTTCATGAAGGAAAAGAAATGGTTTTCTGTTAAACTGTTACAGTTATTGTCAGGTCGTGTGTTGTCTGGGTACTTTATGGGAGTCCTATAAGTTTATTGTTAGCTTTATTCCATTTTGGGTATTATATTTTACTATATTCATTTTGTGTTAAATTCTATTGTGTTTTTATTTGATTAGTCTGTTTTCCTCTGTGCCATTTCTCCCAGTCAGTTCTGCTCCTGCCCCGCCCAGTCTCACCTGTCCTCAGTTGTCTTCATTCCAGGTGTTTCCACTCCATTCATCAACCCCTGTCTTTATAATCCCACAGTTTAGGTTTCTCCCTCATATGAGCATTGTGTGCGCTTGCACCAAAGCTGGCTCTCTGCCCATCAGACTGTTAATTTTTAAATGAATTTAATTAGATTTAATTCAAGCTTCTTTTGTCAGTCTGCATTTATGTGCTTTATGAAATCACAACAGTTATAAAGTGAAATAAAGTTTGTTTTATTTATGTTACACTTGTTGCATGTATTTTATTCTGAAATAAGTTCTGTACTAGCATAAGCCCAATAAACGGAGTTTAATGACTGGACCTTTTGTGCAAAAAGACGTTCACTGTCTCACATTCACAAACAGAAAAGGAACCATGTCACAAAATGATGTAATTAATCTTTTATTTGGTTGATGGTTCTTGTCATTTTCAAAACAAAAACAGATAGAACAGAACATTCATTGAGAAACATTTAAATGCAACTTTAACTGTAGCAATACATTTTTATTTAAATGGGTTTCAATAATTCCTGTAATTTAAAAATATAAAATCAAACATGTTCTCAAACCCACAAAGAATAAATCAAAACTTCAGCATTGCTTCACCGATTTTGACCAGTCGTTTTTGATTTGATTTGGTATTTGTTTCTAAACGCTGCAGTTTTCTTTAGCACTCTTTTTTTATTAGTGATTTTTGATAAATCTTGCTTTGATTATATTAGCTTTGTGTCGTTAATTAGTGCCACTAATAACAATTTAATATAAACTTGTAAATAAACTGATTACATCACTTAGCATGTAAAAAGGTTACATTTTTCTTAATATTATTATTATTATTATTATTATGAATGAAAATAAAACTGGATGAAAATTGGACTTAAAACTTAAGCGAGATAAAATATCTTGAGCCTGGCAAACTGTGAATTTGCCTATTCTGGCCATCATAATGACCTTGAAAAGACATCTGCATGTGTGATAGATGCTGAAGTTAGTTCTGATTTTATGTAATACTTTAGACCTTTTTGTAACAGAAGTCCAACTGAAGCAGAAAGGTTTTGGGTGTCTGTAACGCTGCAGTGATCCTCAGGCCTCGATGCTGATGGACGCCTGGCCAGAGACCTGTCGGAGACCGGAACAGTCCAGAGTAGCGATCACTCTGGTTCTGCCAGACCTCTGAGGGGTGAACATCTCAGTGCAGGTCAGAGAGGAGCCTCCTGGGATAAGACTATAACCAGAAGGGTCTGAGTTAGACGCCAGCAGGACTGGGCTGCTTTTAAAAATATACATATGTCATCTCTACACATTAAGGAACCCCTCATTGTGCTTGACCCGATTGTTTACAGTTATATTCGTTAATGTCCCTTCAATTTAGTCAGAGTACATTACTTAGCAAGGGGTATTTCACATACTTACAAATAAATATTTCAAAAAACAAACAGAAAAGTACACCTCATCCTGAATAAACTCCTATAAAATTTCACAAATCATTAATGGTTTCCATGTGTGCTTAATATCTCCAATTCAAAATGACAATACTGGTAAGCCTTAAATGTATAAAATAACTAGCAAACCAACAGGCTTTAAAGATTTTAAAAACATTAGTTTTTTAGAAAAAGTTATACATGTCCAAATATTATAAACTCATTAAACCAATGAGCTAGTTTGATATTTTTGTTCCTCACCCACAGACGCTCTACGACATAAAATCAGCCAGATTGTTTTGGTCTTTGTGTCATAGCACCATCTTCAGGTGCAAATTAAAAACACTTCAGGCTCTCCGTTACAAGTAAAGCGTGAAAAGTTTAGAGCATGCACCAAATGTCCATAGGGAGGTTGTGGTTGCTATTTAGTGATTGTGAGAACTGCATATTGGGGTCCTGGGTGGAGCCTGGTGAAATGTATGTTCATAATGTGGGGCTAATGGACATGCACAGACTTGAACATGCACAGATCATCAAGAATTTGAAGCAGAACTAGTCCCGAGTTGGCTATAGTCTTGATCATGACAAGGTGAAACAGTGTGGAGGAAGCTTTATGCTACTGTGACACTGCTCTTCTGGCAAGTAGCTGCATCCTGACATGGTCTAATCAGAGTGAGGGTCAGGGTGGAATCTGATCGTAGATACATGGTGTATTGTTGAGGGAATGTGTTGCTGAAGTATAACACTTGGAAAGGGTGCAAGAGAACCTATCGGAACACAGCAGGAAAAAACATCTATTTGACGAGTACTAACAGTCTAGCATCACAATTTCCAGTGAAAAATATTTTTCGAATTTTCTAAGCTCAAGCCTTTTAGGTCATGTAGGGTCTTGTAGCAGGTCATCATCTAGCTAAAAGATGGCGTTACTTATCTATTTTCAATTCAATTCAGTTTATTGAGATGACTTCTGTTGTGATTCGGTGCTATATAAATAAACTGAACTGAATTGGAATTGAAAATAGACAAGTAACACCATCTAGATGATGGCTTATTACAAGACCCTACAAAATCTAAAAGGCTTGATCACAGAAAGTTTGGAAAATCTATTTGACGAGTACTAACAGTAGAGCATCACAATTTCCAGTGAAAAAGATTTTCCAACATTTCTGTGATCAAGCTTTTTAGGTCATGTAGGGTCTTGTAGTGGGTCATCATCTAGCTAAAACATGGTGTTAACTTTTCTATTTTCAATTCATTTCAGTTTATTTATATAGTGCCAAGTCATAACAGAAGTCATCTCAGGACACTGAACATAAATATTGATATTTTGCATCTTTTAATTTACTTTTTTGAATTTGCAGCTGTTACGGTACATCTGCATTCTGTGCATTCTTCTTCTTCTTTCAGCTTTTTACTCATCAGGGGTCTCCACAGCGAGTCATCCTCCTGCATCTCTCTCTGTCCTCTGCATCCTTTAGCCTCACTCCATCTACCTCCATGTTCTCTCTAACTGCATCCATATATCTCCTCTTTGTCTTTTTCCTGGCAGCTGCATTTCTAACATTCTCCTACCAGTATACCCACTGTCCCTCCTCTGGACATGTCTAAACCATCTCAGTCTGGCCTCTCTAACTTTATCTCCCAGTTGTTCAACCTGTGCTGTACCTCTGATGATCTCATTCCTAATCTGATCCATCCTTGTCACTCCTAAGGAGAACCTCAACATCTTCATTTCTGCCATTTCCAGTCCTTTCTCCTGTCTTTTTGTCAATGCCACTGTCTCCAGACCATACAACATAGCTGGTTTTGTAAACTTTCTCTTTGACCTTTGCTGGCACACTTTTGTTGCAAATCACTCCTGAAACTTTTCTCCATCCACTCCATCCTGCCTGGACACTCTCCTTCACCTCTTTACCACACACCCATCTCCCTGGACAGTGGAACCCAAGTACTTGAAGTCTTGCACCTTTGTGACCTCTGCTCCTTGTAGCCTCACTGTTCCACTGGCCTCCCTCTCATTCACACACATGTACTCTGTCTTACTACAGCTGACTTTCATTCCTCTTCTTTCAAGTGCATACCTCCACCTCTCCAAGTTCTCTTCCACCCGTTTCCTGTTCTCACCACAGATCACGTCATCTACAAAATATCATAGTCCATGGGGATTCCTGCCTGACCTCATCTGTTAGTCGGTCCATCACCAGAGCAAACAAGAAGGGGCTCAGAGCAGATCCTTGGTGCACTCCCACCTCCACCTTGAAACTATATGTCACTCCTACAGCACATCTCACCACTGTCCTGCTGTCCTCATACATGTCCTGTACCAGTCTAACATTCTTCTCTGCCACTCCAGATTTCCTCATGCAATACCACACCTCCTCCCTCGGCACCCTGTCATATGTTTTTCTTAAAGGTCTGCAATCTGTATAAATGCTTAAATTAAAAATAACTCACCCAATCTTCAGTCTAATATTGGAGTTATTGAGTTAGTCAAGTCACACATAACACAATAAAGTGGTTTAATAGGATTTTTTTTTTGAACAGCTCGACTTTTGAGTGGTTTTGATTAATTCACCAACTTTTAGCATCAGTTATAACCACTTGAAATAAAAAGACTGTGGTTAAGCATAAATACTTATTAGTTTATAATCTGTAAAATCAGTTAGTTACTGGGTTCAGTCCTGGAATTTGTAGGCTATATATCTGGTACAAAAAGGGGAACTTACCTGCTACAGACCAGGTACAGTATGTACAGTCGGGGCCAGCTTATGTACTCCTACCAGTGTTTTATTTTAAACTTACGTCATTGTATTCTGATTCACTCACGCATAATATCTGTTCCTGGGTGACATGATCCCCGGTCCTTCCATACGAATGTTGACATTCTCAAGATTATGGGTGAAGGGGTTTGTAAACTGGACAGTTGCCATCATCTCCTCATTCACTTTGTTGCTGCCAGACACCTAGAGGACACAATAAACAGCAAACATTAAAAACTCATTTTAGAGAGAGGGTTTACTAAGACCCAGTCTCATTTAATACCAGTCTCATTTAATATTCATTCCTACCCCTAGACCCCCATTTTTATGTCACAAGATATTAAAATGAAATGAAACACTCCTTCAAGAAGCTCATACTAAATCAGTTATGGCCAATTTCCTTTAAATAAACCGATGCTATGCCAGTGTGCATGTAGGTCATGAAGCTAGTTATCTAACCTGAAACAGACTTGACCAAACTATATTACTTTTGTTTTAAGAAATCCAACTAGATATTAAAATGATGGCTCAGGCAAAAATGTTCTGATCACATTTTATCACTGATATTTGTAGGATTTTTTTTTTAAATAGCAAAAGCTGTATCTCTTTGATTGAGGTGACCCAAATCCCAGAAAGATCTTTTATTTAAAAGCAGTGACAGCCTTCTCCTCCACTCTATATCATCAGTGTGAATGCAGAAAATGTTTGGGTAGAGAAGAGGGGCAAAATGGGATTCAGCCTAATGAGATAGAAACTAGCCAACAATTTAATCAGAGTGGTATTGGCTGGAATTTAAAAAAAATAATCCGACCTCAACAATGAGTTTTGGGTTGTGCAGGGTGATGATTTTCATTGCGGTGACGATCTGGCTAGTTTCTTTGATCTTCCCGGTAACGATAAAGTTAAGGTTAGCCTGTTCAACCAGATGGTCCATGTAGTCCCTCGACTCAACCATCACCAACTTCTTCACGCCTGCAAGAAGAACCAAACCTTTCATTATCACATTTTTTAAAGAACAATTCAAGATCCTGGGGTAACATAACTCTACGCTGCCTTGAAGTTAGACATCAGGACATCTTCTTGAATCTTCGCTTTCTTACTTTTTTTGGGCTGAACTGTAACAGTGGGGGTCTCAAACAGGAACTCATGGCTGGAGACTCCAGTGTAATACACCACACTCCCACTGACGTAGGTCTGCACTGTGCGCCGCTGGTCACTGCTGTTGATGAACTCCAGGTTCAGCTCGAAGCTGTCTCCAACGCTGACCTCCAGGGTCGGCAGGACCACGTCCACATCAGCCAGAGGGGGGTTGGACTTCTCCCGTTTACAGCCGTACTCCTCTGCTTTCTCCAGGACTGTTCGCTCCTCTTGGGTTCCTGGGTTAGATTGACAAATAGGTCCACTTTGCAGAAAAAATGTTTTTGGCTTCAAACGGGCTAAAATGTTGCCAAATCAAGAATTGGCCAAGTGTTCAAGCCTAAAGTGCTCGGTTTGGATAAAGTGAAGTCAGAATGACATCAAAATAGAACTGATGTCTGGAGCAAAGTGACAAAAAGGCCATGACAGTAAAAACACTGCCTGTTCTAACAATCAGGCTTGAGAGGCATGCAGTACTTTGCTGACCAAAAACAGGCAAAATGACCAGCATTGATCCATTCGGCTGATTGTGTTTACTGCCTGGTATTTTTTTGTTGTTGTTGTTGTAAAAATAAGATAAATACATCTGATTTAGAGACTGGGTCAAGTAATCCATCTCAAGAAATGGTCTTACTTATATTTGGACATTTTGTTTCACTTTTTCTGTTTTAATTATGAATCATTAATTGCAACGATTGATACAATACGTTCATTTACATTTGAATACTATCCTTAAGCTGACATTATAAAAACTGCTCGTCTAATCGAACAAGGTTGAGGCGCCTTCCTATAATGTTTTTCTCAACAGATGTGTGCTTGAAGAAAAAGCTGCAGCAGGAAAAATGGTTCTTTTGCTTTGTTTAGCACCGATTTCTGTTCGATGTGGTCACTGACCTTCAGCAAACTTGTATTGATTAGTGATGTCTCGACGAGTCTCGCCTCCTGCAGCTTTGGTCAAAACCATGCGACCTACATGAGTCCGGTTCACTTTGACCGGCTGCATGGTCCCATCATTCTTCCGAGAATAAAATACACAATCGCTGTTCACCTGCAGTGGGGAAGGAGGAAGAAAAAAATTCACTGAACTAGATTTAATCTCAGCAAATCTGGCTGCTAGTCACAAAAAATGGCAAGGCATGGGAACAATATTAATTTTAAACTAATTTTACAAAATGATCAAATATATTCTATGGACTAACCTCAGCAAACACAAAGGCAGCATCATATGGGTAGCAAATCTGTCCATGTTTGATAGCCTGGACTGATGCAGGTCCACATCGGTACATGCCTTGAAGAGTAAAGCAACAAGAAAAGTAACAGTTATATACTTTTGTGTCAACTTTGTACATGCCTTGGTGCAAAGGGTTGAGATAATATTATCTGTTACCGTCACTGGTCTCTTGAGGTGTTGCATCCACAACCTGCCATCCTCCAAAACCTGGAGGGAGGTCTGGTCTGGACATGTAGCACTCGTTCCAGCAGTGATAGTTCCTGACAACAGCAAATGTTCAATTTTATTCAGAACAGTCAGAAAATGTGATTTTTATTAAAGGGTTTCATCTAGTGTTTTTATCATAAATGCCTTTGTCTGCATTTAATTACTTTCTCCACACATGCAACTACACAGGAAAAAAGAAAGAAAGAACTGACCAGACTGTTTTCCATACAAGATGATTCTAAAATGTGCACAAATAATACCCTGAGCAGGTGTAAATGTGTCCAGAAAGACTGGTTAAATATGAAATTAATTAATAATTAATTAAAAAAATATATGTATATACATATATACATATATATATATACACACACAAAATTAATACACTGAATATGTTTTGTAGCAGATTATGGATTTTTATAATCCCTTTCAATGATCAGAAACATTGAAGTCAGTTAGACTCAAACAAACAAACAAAACCTCCACCAAAAACACAAGTTACAGGCTGTTCTTTGGGAACAATGGTCTTTGGGCTTTTTCAGTCATGGGTCCTAAACTTTGGTACAATCTGCCCCCAATCATTAGACAGGCATCTTCACTTCCTGTTTTTAAATCGATTATAAAAACATGCCTGTTTTCTCTGGCTTTTAACACAGTGTGATTTGATTTACGTTTGTATTTTATTGCTCTGTGTTTGTATGTTTTTCTTTTGATGATTTTAATTAATTTTTTTGTTTGTTTGTTTTGTTTTTCATTAAATTACTTGCAATGATTTTTATTGTTAAGCACTTTGGTAGTAGCTGCTTTTATAAATATGCTTTATAAATAAATTTGACTTGACAATAAA